AGTCCCACTCCTAGATAAAGCCCAGATTCAGAAAACTCACTCATGTGTTCTAGATGTGTATAAGACAAGTATCAGTACTGTTGATATTTGCAGCAGATTTGAATCATGTTAGATATTAATCAAGAAAAATGGATAAACCATGGAATATACATATAATGGAATATCATAATTAGAGAAAAATGAGTGAACTAGAATTATATGCATCCATATGGATAAATTTCAATAATGTAACACTGAGGGGTAAAAGCTACTTGCAAAAGAATAGTTTAAAAGCACACTAAACAGGGGGAGGGTATAGCTCAGTGGTACAGCGTGTGCCTAGCATGCACAATTTCCTGGGTTCAATCCCTAGGACCTCCATTTAAAAACTAGGCCCAGTACTTCCATTAAAAGATACATAAATAAATAAAAACCTAATTACTTCCCTCTTCCAAACATTTTTTTAAAAAGCATATCAAACATATAAAGTTTAAAAGCCTGCCAAATAATTCAACGTATTGTTTCAAAACATACCTATGTAGTAAAAATATAGAGAAATTCATGGGAGAAAAACCAGAGTCAAGAAGGGCAGTTACTCTGGATGGGGTGGCAGGGGACAGAATCAGGAAGGATTATGGATTCAGCTGTATTGGCAATGCTTTACTTCTTCAGTAGGGTGGAAGTTACATGACGGACTGTTACATGTCTGAAGTATTTCATACTGAATAACTGAAAAATATGAAGGCATAATATTAAACCATATCCTAGTGAAAATCCTAGAGATATAACTGAATGTGGTCCCCAGTGACTCCTTTCCAATGATAACAAGACGAGAAGGTGACGAGGGGGGAAAGGACAGGGAACAGGGTCCTTACACTAGAGCAGTGCATCTCAGATGGAGCTCTCTGCAGTTAGAGTTCAGGGAATCTCTACATAGCAGACACACTGTAGCCATTAAAAAGTGTGAGACTCATCTGTATGAAATGACAGGGAAGTTCAGTCTCCTCCACACATTAGGAAATAAAAGTAAGCTACATAATAATAATGCTTAGTATAGTAACATCTAAAAAAGAGATTTACGTATATTTGTAAATTTGTGGAAATTTATGTAAAAAATCATAAATAGATGCTGACTTGGGGAGAAGGTAAAGATTTCACCTTCTGCCCTATTACACTGTAAATAGTTTTCATAATAAGCTTCTATTGCTTTTATAATTAAACAGCTGAACTCTCCAGTAAGGGCTCGGGGGAAATGCTTTTCAATCTTGGCTATACTTCAAAACCATCTGGGCACGTGTAAAATTCCATTTCCAGACCCCACCCCAGGACAACTTTAAACCTCTGAGGGTAGGGTCCAGGTATCAATATAACTTAAAAGCTCCATTAAAAAAATCCAATGTACATTAAGGGTTAAAAATCATTGTCTCAAATGTTAGATGCAAATGGCAATGTTTCGGTTATGAAAATTAAAGACATCAGGTCTTGTATACTGATCTGACAGAATGCCATCAATTCTTAAAGGAGGAAGAACTAGTGTTATTTAGAGGCTGGGTTAAAACTTTGGAAAAATAAGTTCTGATATGTTGCATTATCTGGGAGGGTTTAAAGCTTAGAATCCCAAATTCCATGCTACAGAGTACGGAGGAGAAGCTTGCCCCTGGGAAAAAAAGTATTCCCAGACAGTGACCACATATGTATTTCACTAGACTCCTATGAAACATCTTTTTGATTGATACTACCCTTAATTTACTTGGGGGAGGGGATGTGCTTTTGTCACACACTTATTTCAGAATTTAAAAAACATTCATAAGCAAAAGAAAAGTCACCATAATCCCATATCCCTCATGGTATTTTGGAACACAGCCTTCTATCTAGATCGTTTTCTCTGCATACATTTACATACATAATGTCTCATATAAAAGTGGAATCATACTGAGTGCCAGGCTTTGTAACTAGCTCTTTCTTTGTATTGTAACAAGAATATTCCTTCATGTAATACTACCTCTGGATGGGCCCACCAGAACAAGTAACTAAAATGTATCCCCAAGTAGCTGAATAAACTAGTGTTTGAAGGAGTTAACTCAGAATGAATATTACCATACTGAAACAACGAATTTGGGGCTGGCAAGGTTTAAAGCTCAGTTGTTCTTTTACACAGTGATTAGTAATCAGTCTAGCTCCTTAAGGCTGACCTTGGTTCATGACGTCAAGGCACGCCACCATGCCGTCAGCATGGAGGGATAAGTCCATGTTCCCCATGAGCACCTACCACGTCAGCCCCTTCCTGAGGAACAGGAGGAACGGCGCCACCAACGCTCCAGTCTGTGTGGGTGGTGCCTTTGGGTCCCGGATTCTTAACTTTTTACATCCTGAGTGTTCCAAGAGACTAGGCACCAGGGGGTTTATATTTGGTTAACTTCTTTCAAGGATAAAAACAAAGACCAGCAATTCATAGTGATTTCACATCCCTTAGAAATTCTTTCAAAACAAAGTTGGTATTATCAAACTTCTTGTTTTATAGATGTGAAACCTGAGGCTAAATTCAGAAAATGAGTACTGTACTAACATATATATGAAGATAGACTTAAATCCAAAATACTAATGACAGACTCTAGAAGAAGAACAAAACTCAAATTTACCGAGTGAGTATCTATTATATGCTAGGCACTTTATGTACTTAACTTTATTTAATTCTCACAATAATCTATGCTTTACGCAGTATTATCTCCCTTTTACAGGTGAAAAAAACGAGACACTGAGAAGTCAAGTAATTTGGAAAAGGTCACATAGGTGTTAAGTGGCAAGACTGAGATTTGTATCCAACTATCATACTAACAATATAATATATATTACATATAAAATATATACATATTATATAATATATGATATATTATAATAATTATAAAACTAAAAAACTATAATATATATATATTTTTAATACCATGATATACTTTTTCAAGGCCCTATAAGTATGAAGTAACTAGTGCATGGTCAGGAAATTGGTGAACTTGTATTGAAACCTGAGTTTTCTGGCTCTTAAGTTTCCACCCTTTCCCACACATAACCCATCCATTCACATTTTACGGGCACTTAATATTAGCAAGAAATAAGAAAATACTACTGACTCATCCAGAACTGTGCAGAGTCTGGGATTTTACCCTATTCACATCAAATTAACCCAATATGGTTTCGTGGATACTGGCAGAAGACACAAAAACCCTGAGTCAGAGACAAAGGACTTTACCACCCATGTTGGGTTGCATCAGCTGTCAAGTCCAGAAAGGGCAATGCAAAGGGCTCACCAGGGCTGCTGCACATGCATGGTTGTATTACAAGACAGGAACACTGAACTCGGGGGATTCACTACTTGTATAACAAACAGAAGCAAGCTTCCTCTTTGGGGGGAGATGTTACCTCTTCCCTCAAGATGGCTTGCTGCAAGCCCAACCGGGACAAATGCCCAGGTGGGAGCAGTCCAGGGCTCTGCTGGCATACTCAGTAGGAACCTGCAGGGACACTCAGGGCCCACGGCAGATTGCGTCCATAAACATGACCTTAAGGCCCATAAAACAACAGATATTAAGTAGTATGGTAAAGCATATGAGAATGTCTCATATTTCAGTGTTTAAATCTTTACAATCTGTTTATTTCTTTAACTGACTTGAATGATTCTTTGCTAATTAACTAATGTTTTAAAGTTGTGATCAATCTTGCAGTATAAAAAGATCAGTATCTCTTGTCTTTCAGATAGATCTAGAGGTCTGAATAGATTTAGGCTTGATTTGTTTGCCCAGACTTCATAGGCTGTGTTACAAACTTTTGGCTAATGTCTGGTTGTCTCTCTTTTGGTGACATTAATAGCCATTTCTAATTATTGTCTAGACCTATCATTATATTAGGGGTTGCAAAAAAAGTGAGAGAGAGAGAGAGAGAGAGAGAGAGA